GGGAAAAGAAGAGAAAGGACTGAACGATAAAGTTTTAAGCATGGACAATCAGAGTAGTACCACTTCCTTTTAGAGGTCCCAGAGGGAGAGAAGAAAGTTTGGGAGTGCCAGGTGAATTTATAGGCAAGAAAAATATATTATCCCTGCATCAGCAATTAAAGCAAATAGTTTATCATTTTCAATAAAACCAACTAAAAGGTTCCTTGCTAGTAAGAAGGAAATTTCCCAAGAGTAAAAAAGGGGAGAAATAGGGGGGGCAAATAAATCAAATAATAAATAGCATATCAAAAGTGGTGTTGGTGAGCCTGGTAGAACCACTGAGACTATGGCCCCTAGATGCCTTTCAGGTCTGGAATTGAACCCACAACTGTGATTTCCAGCCAAACAAAATACAGGCATTGAGTTGAACATTTACCTCAAGTAGATACACTCCTTGGAGAGAACAATCATGGGAGAAAGAGGGGCTGCTTATGCACAGGGAGACAGCTCAGGGGGCAGGAGTATATGGAGGGATGGACACTGGGAAGAGGTAACTATGGGGAGGAAGTGGGAGGTGAGCTGTTGCATTGTGGTAAACTGTGGTCAATGTCATGAGACAAAGTGTATGTGAACTGCTGTATGGAAAGTGAATTTGCTCTGTAAATCTTCACCCAAATCACAATTAAAAAAAAAAAAAAAGTGGTATTGGCAAAGACTATTGAATATACCATGGACTGCGAGAAGAATGAACAAATCTGTCTTGGAAGAAGTACAGCCAGAATGCTCCTTAAAAGCAAGGATGGAGACTTCATCTTTCGTACTTTGTACATACTATCAGGAGAGTCCAGTCCCTGGAGAAGGACATCATGCTTGGTAAAGTAGTGGATAAGGAAACAGGGGAAGATGCTCAAAGAGAAAAACTAACACAATGGCTACAACAATGGGCTCAAACACAGCAACCACCGTGAGGATGGCACAGGACTGGGCAGTGTATTGTTCTGTTGTACACAGGATCACTCACTATAAGTCAGAACCAACTCAACAACACCTAACAACAACAACAACAACTCAAAGAATTTTTCAACCCCCCTATTAGCAGAGCTTTAAAGTACCAGTAAGACTTTCTATAATGCAGTCAAAGTTTCCTAATGTTTTTTCCCCATTAACTAACTTTCAGACATGCTTCCTGCGAGTCAAGTCTTAGACTGCAACAGTGGAGAAAAAATACAGTACAATGCTTAAGACTCTGGCTTTAGTGTCATACTGCTTTAAGTTCAGGCTCTGCCATCTACTACCCTATGACTTAAGGCTAGTTACTTAAGAGTTGTAAGCTTCAAGTTTCCTCAGCAGAAAATGAGGATAATAATAGTAACTACTTCATAAAAGTTGTTTTGAAGATTAAATTCATAATCCATGTAAAATAATTGGCATTGGTATATTGTAAACATTCAATAAATATTAACATTTTAAAAATATTAGTTACTGTTACTGATGAAAACATCACATTCTTGAAGTATACTGGAGCAAGAAAAAGCAAAATTGACCTCAGTGATCATTACCTAGATGTCTGCTTTGTAAGTACTCACTAAACAGAACTTTCCTACATTTGAAGATTTTTCAGTATTTCTATAAAAAGAAAAAAGATTGAGAATCAATGCCTTACATGAAAAGGTCCAGTACTAAAACACACCTTCTGGTCTAAATAAAAGTAAGTAAGAGTTTCCTTTTCATTGTGTATTTCTTAGTTTTAACTACAAAATCCACTCCACTGCCCAAGTTCTAAATTGCTATCAGTGATCATTACTTCCTCCCCTACCTCCATCGGAAAACCTTTATCCCCTTTCTGTCTGTTAGCTTTGCACTTAAATACATTCAAATTAAAAAAAGAAAAATGGGAGAAAATGTCCACCCTCATTCCAGGCTATAACCATCTCCATGTCCAGAAAATTCTTTCTTGCAGACCAGATCACAGCATTAGTCCTCCAAAACTAATTCAAGATATTATTGTCAGTCCCCCTTTTCCGTTGCTCTAATCATGTTACACCTTCTAACTCTGCTCTGAAATAAATTCCTTCCAATCTTCCTAACAAGAAAAAGCTCCCAACCAACTCATCGCAAGGCATATTCTCATACCACCACAGGCCATTTGCAAGTCTCATTTCTTCACTCCCTAATCTAATCTCTCTTCTTTTGCACCTGGATCGTTAGTCACTAATTTCTCAGTAAGACTTTCAAGTTTGGTACATACTTCTATTAAGATTCACCAACCTCATTTTTTCTCTCCAAGGACCTCTTAAGATCTCTCTTCTATGAAGCCACTGACTGAATGACTAGGAGATGATTTTCCTCCTCCTCTCTACTGCCACTCACAATCTTCTGATACAATTCTACACTTTTATTTAGAAAACACTTATTCTTGCTCCTAACATCTTATTTGTGTATCAGCTGGCTGTGTAATTTACATCTGATCTTTTCTTCGTCCTGTTTATGAGAAGGTATGAATGATATCTCAGCAGAGTACATCTCACTGTTTTGAACAGTCTGATGTCACAAATACACAGTCACAGAGCTAAGCTGTAGTATAAATTTCTAATGGATAAGGCTAAATCATATATGGGGTCTAGTCTTAATTATGCCTAAATCCACAATAAAGGCATTTGACCAAACTGGGCCCCAGTTCACCCTTTAAGCACATCTCTAGCACTCCCTTTTCTCTCAGTCTCAGCAGACCTACTACCTTCTCACAGGACTCTTCAATTACTGCCCCCACCTCTACTCCTGCCCTTGGCCTAGACAACTTTCTTTTGTTGTCCACCAGACTGTAAACTCCTTGAAAGCATAAACTGAATTTTATTCCCTTTTGTATCTCCTGACCTAGTACTGTGTTGGCTGGCACATAATTAAGACAGTCAATAGAAAATCAGAAAATCACTACTCATACCCACTGCATGACCTTGTGCAAGCTACATAACCACCCTGAGTTTCCTCATCTAAAATACTTTCCTCAGGTAGTGGGGATAATGCTACACCTAGCTTATAAAGCCGATAATAGGATGAAATGAGGTATCATTAAACTCTCCGTATAGTTAGTGTCTGCCACATATAATGACCATTTGGAGATGTGCTGTTTCATGTCTTAGGTATCTTAATGTATCTTGTGAAGTGTGATGTTGCTGTAACCAATATTTTCAAGCAACCATGCTGTTTTTTTCAGGCATCCTAAAGTCACTGATCACCTTCTAATCATCACAACTATTTGTGTACCTATTATGTGCAGAAATCCTTGCTAAGCATGATTGAGCTCCTAGAATACAATAACAGTCGCAGATAATAAGGCAAAAACCTGTACCAATAGCCAAAAAAAAAAAAAAGCAAAAACAATGTTATTAGTTCTGTACAAACCATGGGTATTTACGTACTTGCAGTACTTATCTAGCAAACTATGTAAGTTTTGCTTTAAAGTACTGGTCGCTTCAAGAAAAATTACTGATGGAAAAAGTTAAAAAATTAACTTCTATCATCAAGTGGACCAATAGCAGGAGATAGTTCCACAATCTCCTGTTGCTATTTCAAAATTTCACTTTTGTTTAGATGTATTTCTCACAAAGGAAATTCGAATCATGACCCGGGCACAGAAAGATGACCTTTATCTGTCTCATTCAAATTGGAATCCCACAGATATTTCTCTGGGTTTTTCCCAGTATTAAATTTTATGGTTCTGAAAGATGGCTTGTTTTGTCTGTTCTTCTACAAAACAGAACACAAACGGTGTATTTTCCCCCATAATCTTTCCTCTTTAAGATAAGATAAAATGCACTTAATCACACTGGCCCCTTAGCAAGTAAGAAATACAGAACTGCAATTCAAGTCACCCAGAATTAGAAAAGGAGGCTGTGGACTTAAAACCATTCTCACCCTAACAAATCCAGAGGTCAGAGTCCCCGTGAAGTTTATGCATTATACTTCAATGTTATTAGTAGCTGCAGAGAGACCTCTAGCGCTGCCTCAATAAGCCGAGTTTGCAAATAGTACCTGCTAATGTCACCTTAATAAGACAATGGCAACATGCTGAGTAGCAACGAACTGAGTGTCCACGATTAATGTTTATAGTTTTGCAACCACCTGGAAACCCTAACAGCTTGGAGCAAAACATAATACAAGGGCGAATGAACCAATGTATCCAATTTATTTCAGTCACACTTCAAAGAAATCACCAGATGCACACCCCACTCCAAGAAAGGCTAAGAAAACAGGTCCTATAATCGGAGGTCGGAACAACCTCTCTTCCAAAGCCTCAACACAATAGAGAATAAACTATGGTCCACTTTCTGCTTACTGCAAATGCCAGAAGGAATAGGAGTAGGAACTAGAAGAGCTCACCACGACCGGTCCAAAGAACAGCACTGGAATATAAGAAAATGGTCCTGGCGCATCTTACCCTCCCCCACCCACCACCCTCAAACAAGCAGTTACCCGGCTGGTCCCCACCCCCCTCTGCGGGCCGCCGCCGCCGCCTGCCTGGGCCCGGTTCGCGAAGGTAGGCGAGGGGACCGGCAGCCCGCGGCTCCATGTGCAGCTGCGCGGGAGGCACGGAGGGAACTGCGCCGGACGGAGATGAAGGACAGTAGGCAAGAGCCGCGGCCGCCCCCTCGGCGGTGCTGCTCCCGGGCCCAGGCGGCAGCATCCCCATCCGCGCGGCCCGGGCCCGCGGACCCCGCCTCAGCTCCACATCCCTTCCTCGCCGACAACAGGCCGCGCCCGCGTGACAGGGCCGAAAGCCCCGGCATTTCCCGGTCCCTGCGCCAGCAGCTCCAGAGGGCGGCTACAGCCCGGCCCTCGTCCTGCCGCCCGCTCAGCCCAGCCACGGCCGCGGTGACGGGAGGCGGCGGCCAACCCCGACCGACCGCGAGCCGGCAAGAACCAGCCCGGCGCCGGACCCCCGCCCCTCCCGCCGCCGCCGCCGCCGGGCCGGCGAGGCTGGGCAGGCGAGCCGGGGACCCAGACCGCGGAAGAACACTCACTTCCACATCGCGGCCCTTGTTTTTGAAGCTCTTGATGCGGTGGTTCTCCAAGCCAGGGTTCTCGGCCATGGCTGCGCGCGGCTCCGGCGACGGCTACTCTTGCGGCTGCGGCGGCGGCGAG